GAGTAGAAACTACAATTTTACAGACTCTGGTATGTCTCGGCCAGGGGACAGAACCCAAAGCCTTCCTTACAGGGGCGAACGCTCAAAGAAAGGCCAAAAGTGAGGTATTGTCAAGGGAGACATTAGGAAGAAGAAAGTTGTTTAGAAAGAAGTGAAAAGATAACATCCTAAATTTAGTCGCCTCTTACGATCATGCAATGGGGCAGCAGGTACAATTCCTGTTTAACTTTAGCCATGGTCAGTTGACCAACGTTTGATCAACGGAATTTAGTCACTGATTAATTAACTATGTATGTATGATTATCGTTAGCAATTAAACCACTGACTGGCACTGACCACTGGTTAATTTTTGTCCAGCGTTTGAGCAACGGAATTGGGTCATGGTTACCTTTAGCGATTTAACCTCTGACCACTCGTTACTTTTTGTTTAACGTTTAGACAACCGGAGCCAGTACGCCTTGGTTATTATTTCAATTCAGGTCGAGTGGTCTACGTCGTTACCAGCATCAATCAATATATATGGGCAGGTGTCAGGGATGGCCTCCTCTTCCGTTATCACCAGTATCTGTATCAGTACAGGGGGAGACCGCGTCAGTCAATGTACTACGTAACTACTCCTCGAGATTACCCCGACTACATCGTACCCAGACCGTGTTACACCTGATAACACCTTGGCTGTGCAAATCTCGCGTGAATATTACGTCTGATCACATGGTGGTTGCCTTTCAACGATACGGACCAACTTAGATACGAAAGTGACAAAGCATCTGTTTTAAGCCATCCATTTTTCAGAACGGCAACATCCACATCTGTCCCTGTCACGATGTAATGGTAAGCGACTCGGCAGATTTGATTTACAAGTTTTGGACATGTTTCCAGTCAAAGTTTGTAGATACAGACTGTTGTACATAACTTTATGAAAAACATGATCGGGTATATACAAAACCGCTACATCCGGGTCCGTATTCACTAAACTGTTCTCGTGCTCAAGCATAGATTTTGTGCTCAAACCTAATTTCTTGTTCCAGTTTTGAATTAGTAAAAACAATCTTATTTTGTCAAGGATTTGGGCAATGTTTTGAAGAGACTTAAAGCCGAATACTGTTTTCAATGTTTACATTTGACTTTTTGGTCGCTTGACATGATTTAGGCGAGTAACAAGAAAGTTGGTTTGGGCACAGACTCTTTGCTTGAACATGAGAACAGTTTCATGAATACGGACCAAGATAATCTCTCTTTCTGATATTGGTATCTACGTACTGTGTTATTTTAATTAGTATGTCCCTACTAACATGTATAAAATACCTGTATATGATTCGAGTTTCAAAGAGCTTATCGTTTGCACGATATAGACATTTCGAGTGCTATAACTGCCGAGTTGTATGGCAACAGCAAACATTTTCTTAACCCGTCCTTCTACCATCATTTTAACACGAGAAACACGATTTTCTCTGGGGGAACTATGATTACTGAACCCGGTACATGCTTCGCGCATGTCAAAAGCGGTGCAACAAGTGTTGTACAGTGTGATCGCCTCCAGGTCAAGATATAGTTATATGCCAATTCCAAACAAACAGTAAGGAATCTAGACGAGAGGTACATACATCAGGCACGTCCAAAAGAATGATTAACTCATAGAAAGATACCGAACAACAAATATGTCGTTATATGAAAACATATTATAAATAGACGCGCTAATGTTTGCAGTGCACCAAGGGTATCTATTTAATGAGCTTACCTACCATCAGATATCCTTTTATTTAGCTCCTGGTCAGATATCTATTTAATGAGCTTACGACTAGGTATCCATTTAATGAGTTTACGACCGAGTGTCCTTTTAGTGAGCTTACGACCAGATGTATATTTAGCTAGCTAGGTATGCGTCGTAGTATTATGAACTGGGATCCAGTTCCTGTAGTGAGCTGACGATCATATATCCATTTAGTGAGCTTATGACCAGGTGTCCATTTAGTGAGCTTACGATCTTTAATCAGATGTCCATTTAGTTAGCTAGGTTAACGTTGTTGCCGTAGTATCACATGCACGAACTGAAATCCAGTTAGTGAGCTGTCCACTAAGAACGTGAACGTGTTTCGTGCTACCGTAAATTACCCAAACAGAACACAGTGTAAGTTAATAGTGGAAGACTTATCCGTATAAAACCCACGAGAGATAAAAAAAAATCTTGAGTATAATGATTTAGAGATACAAGAATAATGCTATTCAACGCAATCAAGAGAACGATTCCTTAATGTTACGTTTACATTATGTTCCCGGTGGCCACGGCAATCACGTTCCAGGTCAACGTGACAGTACGTAATAGGCCGTAATATAACTTGGAGTCGGTCCGTAGTGGGACGGAAAGCATGTGTATTTCCCGGCATCTCACAGTTTTTTCAAGTTCTATGGCGTTTAGTGCGCGTTCTGTCACGGTTGGTTCACGGTTGCTGCGCGTTTTGTCCCGTTTTGCCACGTTTTGTCACGGTTCTCACGGCAAGCTAGAGTGTATGGTAGCTGTTTCGTCGCGTTCAATCCGGCGCGTCCCAGTGTGTGACGGTTTGCGGGCCCGGCGCATTGCGTTCTACTACGGTCAGTTCAGTTCAGTTTTTATTACCTTGAACCTTACGGCTCATCAGTTCAAAATAAACATTTATACAAGGATAAACAATACAATCACTCACACCCATATACACACCCACAAATACCCCCGCCCCCCACAAATACACACTCACATACACATTGGTATAGTGTAGAGAGACATCCCTCTTTATATAGGTACATAGTCTTTTCTTTTCTTATTACTCAGTTTAATATATTTGGCTAAATTTGTTAACTGTTTTTTGTTCCCTGTTTCCATAAGTTGGATAAATGTATACATGCTAGGTCTTTCATAGTAATATTTCTTAATAAACGCTTTCTTAAATCTAAAAAAACATTCACATTTTAATATAAAATGAAATTCATCTTCGATATCCCCACTATTGCAGTATGCACATGTTCTTCCAATCCTATCTACATTGTAATACCTACCAATTTCAATATTTAATTTGTGAGATGACAGTCTATTTTTTGTAATCTCTTTCAGATTTGTATTTCCTATGGGTTTTGTTAAATATGGTTGTAAACCGAAATTTTCGCCAATAAACTTGTACAGTGAACACTTAGAAGATGAATCTATTTTTTCTTTACATTCTTGCTTAAATATATCACACATTCTGCTTTTAATAATATTCATAATATAATCGGAAGTATAGGTATCTCCATATTGCTATATGTACCCTACTCCCATTCTAAATAGNAAGCGATTTTTTGTTGAGTTTTTTTTTAATTTACCTTAAAAATTCATTAATATACCCAGGTAACTTGATTTTAAGTTTTAAATAGTTTTATTCCAAAATGGCAGCCGTGGCGGCCGTATTGGTTTTTTGATCGACCTAAAAAACAGCTTTGCCAGGACCATGAGTCGATCATTCCTACCAAGTTTCAGTTAAATTGGCCCAGTAGAACTTAACTTTAAGTTTGAAATGGATTTCTTATCGACCCGAAAAATAACAACACTTTGTCAGGACCATGAATTAATCATTAATACCAAGTTTCAGTCAAATCGGCCAAGCAGAACTTGGCCAAGTAGAACTTGACTAAGTTTGAAATAGTTTTTTTACAAAATGGCCGCCGTGGCGACCATATTGGATTTTTGATCGACCCGAAAAATAACAACACTTGGTCAGGGTGTTGTAAGTAACATTCCCATGAAGTATCAATGAAATCCTTTTGACAGTATTTCAGCTTAAGTTGAAAATGTAAAATGTTAACGGACGAAGCACAACGCACGACAGACGACGACGGATAGCAATAGGTAACTTGAGCTAAAGATCAGGTGACCTAAATACCGATCAAGGAGAATGTTCCATGTAAGAATTGAAAATATTGACATTCCGTTACACCGCATACGAAGGGAGCTAACTCCAACTGACGATAATTTACCTTTCAGCATGAAGCAAAAAAACAGACCCGTGCTGCGCTTATGTTAGGAAAAGTGTAAATATTCACTGAGGTTATTTCCGGTGCCATATGGAGTACCGCAAAAACTACAATACCGTAAATGTAGTACCTGGAGTAAAAAACGTTGATAAAACTTTAGAACTGATCGCCGGAAGCCATGGTTTGTCTTCTTAAAAAATAATTCCTACATTTATCACTTCTCTCATTAGAGAAGGTTATATTAGACATACAGCATGAACTGTTTCTTCAAATTTCTTGCATTGTATCTTTTCATAAGATTTTTTCTGGGGCGAAATTTAGACCTATCGAAACAAAATTTCAAATATTGAAAAATACGTTTCTATTTATAATGTTTATACATTTGTGCTGACTAGTTTTCGGAGTTATGACAAATTGTTCAGATAAAATTGGTTTTACAACTTCATTTTGTTCCTTTTCTTACAACATGAAATGAAATTCTATTTCCGAGAATAACTCATTCAACGGAAATTTTTTTTCAGATAAAACAACAATTCTCTTTCAGCGTGTCAAATTTGATTTTAGTGGCGCAATAACTGGCTCCAGGAAAATTCAACGAAAAACGATAGAGATGCATTCCAGGCAAACTGCAAATAGTTTAGGTATGATGCCATAGTCCTCCAGCCGAGAACAATATACAATGTGTACGTCGTCACAAACATGTTATCGTCGTGTACAGGAGCCCCCATGTCGTGGAATCGTTAGATATTAACAATCTTTGTATCGTATATTTTGCCCTATGACAATGAAATATTATACATGTAAATCGTTCGGACAACAAGTTACAATTCCCGCACCGATTCCAACAATGCAAGAAACACCGTTTAAAACAAAATGTTCTAAGGGGAACAACTCTGATATAAAGTGAAGATTTCTCCGCGGCTGGCATGGAGGAGATGGTGGCAGTGGACTTCTCTCAGAAGCTTGACATTATAGTATCCGAGAGTACGAAAATATAAAACTACAATTAAGAAGCTTACCTTCTGAGAAATTCCAAGTTTTCCGTATGTCTCATTAGTCCCGTCCTCATCATGATGCTCTGGAAACATGGTCGGTCTATCGCCCATAACTTACAGGCGGTGATTGCTATACATGAACAAAATAAAAACAATTAATTCACACATTAATAATTATTCATAATTTGTAAGTTTTCGGTGTTCACATCTTGGTATGAAATTCATTTTTTCTTCTGTTTGTTTGTTTTCTTTCTTTATTTGTTATTATGATACTGAAGGATGTATTAGGATAATGAAGAAAGGAGACACATCAATATTGAATCAAATTACATAAAGCCTACATTCATTTAATTTGATCAAAGACCCGTGAGTTTATTACAATAAGTTATACATACAAAATATATTTGAATATTACAGGTGTGTAAACGTATGGCCGGACGAACACTCACAACAATAGCAAACACATTAACAAAATTAACCTGTTATAATTATGTAAAAGAGACGAGGCAGATGTTATCAAACGCCCTGTTTACAACTTCAGAAAATGTCAAATGAAATTAAAGACAAAATGGACACTTTCACAAATAAGTAGATAAGTAATGGCGAAGGCCTATAATCAGACATTTACAACAAAATATATAACAGCGTAGGGTCTTCTGATAAATGACATTGAAGACACCAACATTAATCCGCTGTCCCTATTGCAATACTTGGGTTCTATAATTGTTCGTTTCTCACTCCCCTAATCGATCTTTTTGACATAGGTGTCCGTTAATATGACCAACAGCTGAGCTGAATTGAAACAACAAGCTAACAACATTGACAATTGAAGTGTCAAGAAAACAAAGCTGAGAACTTTGAACAGTTCAAGATTGCCTGAGTGCTGAAGTGTAAAAAATAGCTACAAGTTAGATGGAGAGGTGACAAAAACAGCATGATAATAACGTCTCCCTACTTCACCGCTCCCAATGTACAGAACAAAACAAAATACAAAACTGAACCTAGCAGAGGGGAGATAACCTCTCTTATACTCTTGATTAACCAAGCAATTTGTAAGCATCTTCCTTTCAGGCAACAAATTTATTAAGATAGAACGAAGAATAACTACTGGTGGCTTTATGGATATTTGAACTTCTGACCGTAAACCCTAATAATATTACTGTATTGAACACAAAAAGAATATGACGTTTTCAGAAAAGAAACAGTGAATGTTAAACATTGCGCTGGTCGATTGAGTATACAGTAAATAAAGAAAATGTCACTGACCGAGCGGGTACAGTGAACACTGACCTCTCACACTGACCGAGCGTGTACAGTGAACACCGCCCTCTCACACTGACCGAGCGGCTACAGTGAACACTGACCTCTGGCAATGATCGAGCGAGTACAGTGAACCCCTCCCTCTGACACTGATCAAGCGGGTACAGGGAACCCCTACCTCTGAAACTGATCAAGCGGGTACAGAGAACACCGACCTCCCACACTGACTGAGCGGGTACAGAGAACACCGACCGACTTCTCACACTGATCGAGCGGGTACAGAGAACACCGACCTCTCACACTGACTGAGCGGGTACAGAGAACACCGACCGACTTCTCACACTGATCGAGCGGGTACAGTGAACACCTACCTCTGACACTGATCGAGCAGATTAGATGGACACCTACCTCTGACACTGATCAAGCGGGTACAGTGAACACTGACCTCTCATACTGACCGAGCGGGTACAGTGAACACTGACCTGTCACACTGATCGAGCGGGTACAGAGAACACCGACCTCTCACACTGACCGAGCGGGTACAGAGAACACCGACCGACTTCTCACACTGATCGAGCGGGTACAGTGAACACTGACCTCTCACACTGACCGAGTGGGTACAGTGAACACCGACCTCTCACTTTGATCGAGCGGGTACAGTGAACACTGACCGAGCGGGTACAGTGAACAGTGACCTCTCACACTGACCGAGTGGGTACAGTGAACACCGACCTCTCACACTGACCGAGCAGGTACAATGAACACTGACCTGTCACACTGACCGAGCGGGTACAGTGAACACAGACCTCTCACACTGATCAAGCGGGTACAGTGAACACTGACCTCTCACACTGATCAAGCGGGTACAGTGAACATCTACCTCTCACACTGATCAAGTGGGTACAGTGAACACCTACCTCTGACACTGATCAAGCGGGTACAGTGAACACTGACCTCTGGCATTGATCGAGCGAGTACAGTGAACACCTACCTCTGACACTGATCAAGCGGGTACAGTGAACACCTACCTCTGAAACTGATCAAGCGGGTACAGTGAACACCTACCTCTGACACTGATCGAGCAGGTAAGATGGACACCTACCTCTGACACTGATCAAGCGGGTACAGTGAACACTAATCTCTCACACTGTTTGAGCAGGTACAGGGAACACCGACCTCTCACATTGATCGAGCGGGTACAGAGAACACCGACCTCTCACACTGACCGAGCGGGTACAGTGAACACCGACCTCTCACAAATCGAGCAGGTAGAGTGAACACTGACCTCTGGCATGGATCGAGTGGGTACAGTGAACACTGACCTCTTACATTGATCGAGCAGGTACAGTGAACACTAACCTCTGGCATTGATCGAGCGGGTACAGTGAACACTGACCTCTGACACTGATCGAGCGGGTACAGTGAAAACCAACCTCTGACACTGATCAAGCGGGTACAGTGAACACTGACCTCTGACATTGATCGAGCGAGTAAAGTGAACACCTACCTCTGACACTCATTATGAATTATAAATATTGAACAATTACTTTTGACACTGGTTCATGAGGGTAAAGAGATTACTTTGGTGTCGATTATATATAAACCTTTGACGCTTACTGTACGGGTACAATGTATATTGACATTTAACGCTTGCTGTACGGGTACAATATAGATTGGCCTTTGTCACCGGCTGTACGGGTATTTGACCTTTGAAGCCGGCTTTACCGGTAAAATGTATATTGACCTTTGAGCCGTCTGCAGGTACAATATATGTTGACCTTTGACGCTTGCTATACGGGTACAATGCATATTGACCTTTGACGCTTGCTGTACGGGTACAATGTATAATGGCCTTTGACGCCTGCTGTACGGGTACACTTTATATTGACCTTTGACGCTTGCTGTACGGGTACAATATATATTGACCTTTGACCATGGCTGTAGGGTACAATATATACCGACCTTTATCACCTGCAGTACGGGTATTTGACCTTTCACTCTGGCTTTACCGGTACAATGTATACTGACCTCTGATGCTGGCTGTTTGGTTACAATGTATATTGACCTTTGACAATGGTTGTTCGGGTAACATGTATATTGACCTTTGACGCTTGCTGTGCGGGTACAATGTTTACTGAACTTTGACGCTTGCTGTGCGGGTACAATGTTTACTGACCTTTGACGCTTGCTGTGCGGGTACAATGTTTACTAACCTTTGACGCTTGCTATGCGGGTACAATGTTTACTGACCTTTGACGCTTGCTGTGCGGGTACAATGTTTACTGACCTTTGACGCTTGCTGTGCGGGTACAGTTGTAGAGGATGGCGAGTTCCCCGAACACTTTAGCCGGTCCCATTGTACAGAGTTTTGTGGAGTCCTTTGTCACTTCTACCTTCCCCTCTGAAAATGCAAAGGTAAATAATATACATAGACGTACTTTTGTATTAATATATAAACAATTAGATGTCGACGACAAAGGTGATAGCTCCCCATTTTTGTTTTAACGACCTGTTCAGGGAAGCGGCGGGCGCAGCGCGAACGGGACAGGATGTCCTGTAGGAGAAGGAACTGATGTCCCATTACGATGGCGACGGCCATGTTTTATCACAGCCAACAATGACGACACATGTAGACCTGTCATGGTGGACACTGAGATTGTTCTACCACGTCCGGGTCTACACGTCTTTGTTTATCTATCAGACACGACCACAGTGCATACGGCAAGTTTTTTTGTGTGTTGTTTACATGATTGACGAGCATTTAATGTCCTCCCCCATCTCCAGTGTTACTAACGAAATAGTTTAAATTCTGCAAATCATAAACAGACATTCCAATAATCCGAGCAGCTTTATTAATTAAGACTTTTTTTTTTTATTAAAAATGTAGGGTATCGTCTATATGAACCCAATATTTCACTAAAAAGAACTTTAATTACATTAATAAATTAGATAAGACGCTATAGAAGGAGGTTTTCCCAAACGTACACTCCTTTCTGCTGAATGAGATGTCCCATATTTCCATGCAAGCAGGACATGTTACGTTTTGTCATGTCGACTACGACCTACTCTGTACTATACCACACTGACACAGTTCGATCACGTGCTAAAACAGGTAGTTATGATGCAATTTCACATGGCAGATCTGGTATAACGGTGCTTTTGATTGGGTTATCAGTATTTGATTGCCTTTTTAGAAATGTTATATCTGACGATTCCTAGAAGAATAACAAGAAAACAAATCCAGTTAAAGTCTTCAGCCGATAATTCTCTAATTAGGTTTGAAATACGTCAGTGTAACGAACTTTTTGCAAGAATGTTCAAAATCAAACACAACACATTTGTTACGATAACTAAGGGGGAAGGATTATTGACAGACAAAAATGTTTTAGCAAGTGAAATAAATCGAAAACAAATATCGAAACAGAAAAATCCCTATATCACAAAGCGGGGAAAAGATGCATAACAATCAACTACAAACGAATGGTTCTGTGTCCGGAATGACCGGACAAGGCTTCAGACTTAATATAGGGAGATAAGCTGAACGGTTTTCAAGACGTTTGAAATGTATTTATACATTTCATTAAATATGCAGAAGGACGAAAACAGTATTAAATCTTGTCGTTTGGGACGAAAAGACAAAAGGACGAAATGGAAGAAATCAGACACCATAATTTTTCGATCGCTATCACTGAAATTATAAGTTTATTACTAGGAAGGAATTTGACAAATTTGCATGTCGTCATCAACAAAACGTCACTATATTTTAGAGGAGTTACGCTTGTATATTTACATTTCATTTTTACAATCCTTAGATAAACCTACCAACCATCATGATGTGATATTGCTATAACAGCAAGAACAATGACACCTGAATTTTTAACTCGGAAAATGTTCAGGTCTTTCGGAACATATCATGGCATGACGTTAAAATCAAATTATGACATCCGTTATGGTTTCAACAATGTCCTACATTCTATGGTTACCATTTCCGTCAGACGGCGAACATCAATGGAATGGTTTCCGATTGATGTTCGCTGTCTAACGGAAATGGTAACCATAGAAAGTAGGACATTGTTGAAACCATAACGGCTGTGTACGGGTAAAAAGGTAAACTATGTATCTCCGGTCGAAGAACCTCCCCCTCCCCTCACTTCCCCCTCCTCTCCCCCTCACCGCCGCTTTATATTATTATACAATGTAACCATGCTACCAGATACACAGAAGCAAAACATAATTTGTCCATTAGCAGCGGCCATTTTGAAAATTAGACTTAACTAATAATCACCGTATTTACAAAACATGAAGGTGTGCACGTAAGACTTTAGTACACTGTACGAGGCTCAGTCTGTCGTTGTTGGGTTTGTTACGGCTTTTTTTTTTTACAAAACATTTGCCGTACGGGTATACCCAAACCTATAGCAACGTACCAAGACTAAGACCATATCAAATTATTGTCTTTATATATGATTTATTTTAAGATTCAACGTAACTGTTTTACAATCGCTGTAAATTGGTTCCACATGTGTACTCTGTTTGCACGAGTTCCCATAACATTGTTAGGGCGTGGCGGACTGTTCATTAATTAGCGCTGAAGATGTAGCTTTAATCATCATCACCGTGTTCCCATGAAGAAACAAAAAAATCAGATTTTTTTTTTTAAATACGAGACCCATGGAGTATATAGACAGGAGAGGAACATTTATTAGTAACATCCCAAGCCATCCCAGGTCGCGGGCTTCATGCAACATTGATTTAACCGATTCGCATTCATAATGACATGAATACACAACGTATATATATAAATACGTGTAATGTTCGTGTTAGTATGAACGCAAATACTTAACATATTACGTGAAATCCGCTAGGAAAAACGTGTCATTTAATCCATATAGTCACGTTAATACTCTAAACTTGGTTTTAGTATATTCATATAAGATCAGCGCTAGTATCAATCTTCATCATTTGAGCGTTTGACGCAAGAACATTCTCCAGGTTATCTGAAGCGAAGCGGCAATACTCTCATCGACCAAGATCAACATCATCAGAGTGTTTTTACTTTCATAGTCTACTGAAATGCATTTTTCTGATAATGCTTGTAATGATAGTGGGATGCATCGCTAATTGTACTGCAAATACATTTGTACAATAATATAAATCGCAGACGAGTCGTGCCATTTATAAACGGACAAACACGTGATCTTGTCAATTTGCAGAAGATGTGAATGAAAGAAATGAAATCTGATAAATATCGAACGTTTTTGTTGTTGTTCATATGTGACATTAATATGATGTATACAATGGACAGGGTTTTCTTTTCATTTGGAAATATAAAATATAGTGGACAATTGTTAAAATGATCCAGGCGTGTGTCATTCAGCTCGCTACAACAACCTGTCAGCATCCGACAGGAAGTATAAGTAGTTGTATTTCCCGCCATTACTGTATACAGGTATTCTCTACAAATATTGATGTGTGCTATATCCGTACCAAAACAAACACGTGTAATATGCTACCGAGCTGTCGGTCTGATTCAAACAGACATTGCTTTATGATTCCACACACAGGAAACAGTCTCAAGTACATTTCCTATCAACATTTCCGAAACAAACGGCCTTGTTTGAAAAGATAAACGACGGCAATAATAGATACAACTAAATGTAGACTCGGTTCAGGTATTAATGGAAACAGTACTGCTGATGTGTGCTGGTTGGAGGTATTTCGGTGCAGGCTAGCGCAGACCATTATCCCGACTTCCTCTAACACAATAGTTCCATTGGCTAAACAAAACTTTCTGGTTGTAAGGCTGCCGGATGTTTATAATGCACACAAAATGCCAATTGCCATCAACAGCGAAAGCAAAGCTTGTTGATAGAGCCCAGTGAGCTATATAAGTCGGTATATGTCTGTAAACCACTCGTAGGTTAAACACTAGCGTCGAAATGTTTAATTTAAGTTTAATCATGCAATTAATTTGGAAGTAAAAAAAAACCGAGGAAACATCTGGAATTTCATTGCTTGGATAAAACTCGGTAATGGTTTTTGATTTTTTCCCTCTTTATAGCATTTAGATGAGTTTGGTAGAAATGAAATATTTCGCTGCTTCAACCAAATACAATATCTTTTCTGTTTCAACACCAGACCCTTGCAATACGTTTTCACACTAAAGTAGCATAATAAACCATGTAGAACCACTGCCAGGGGAGTCTGCCAATTTGCGTCCAGATAGATTACCTAACTACCCCATTTGATACGCTATGTTAGGCGAAGATCTGTAATGTAGGTCTTTATACTAATGGTGGCCCTGGGACAGGGAATTCAACACTAATGACAACCCTGGGGCGGGGACAAAGATAGACATCAGCAGGATACAATAAGAACCTGACATACCCACTCGGCGGAAGAACATGGGTGTCGCTTTCCGAATGTAGATACGGGGTCGCCTGTAGACTTCCGAAATACGTTAGCCTGCCATTTCACATACTACAACAATTTGGTGGAATACGATTTTCTCAGTCAATGCCAGTGCTTACCGAGTTAGTACCAAACTATTTCTTTACTACTCTTGGTTTTGAAATCTCAAAACTACCATTAGTGCAAACATATAAGAGTAGTACTACCGGAGGTCAAAGGTCGAGGTTTAAATAATTTTCGGTTTAGATATTCTCAAATCTACGATATTGCACACGCATAGGTGTAGTACTGTCGGGGGTTAAAGGTCGAAGTTTAAAAATTATGAAAGTTTGTATCGCGATTTCGTCGTACAGTGTCTGTGTGATCCGAACAGTGTCTGTGTGATCAGCTGGTTATACAATGAACGTATTTTAACTTGGTTACCGTCTGTCGATGTATTTAATGTCAAACTAACCCTAGTTATAGTCAGTCTGTGGCCCGTTACACCACACTCCCTGTCAGTCAGACCGGCCAGGTATGTGTGAGTACCAATTAGCAGCCATACCTACCTAACTGATAATCATCTTACCATTATCTTCCTCTGTTCGCCACATTCTCTCAACAAGTGCGAACAAACAAAAAGCCATAACAGTTGGCGCGAGTGGTAGAATGATGATATCTTTACACTATAAAATATTGAGATATGTACAGTCACTGACTTTCTACTGGAATATATATATAGACCCACACAAGGGAGATGGACATAGCATCGGAGACCGCAATATATAAGAATCGTACTGTACGCAAATCTACTGTCGTATAGGACTGGCGATTATCTAAACAAGAGGCCAAAACGGGTGTGTATTGTTCGCCTGGATAGGCAAAATAGGTTCATGAAAAGTAAAACTTTCTTAAAAAAAAAAGGTCTCCATTTTGTGTTCGAACTTTCAGCATCCAGGCTGACCCTCATTCTTCCTTTACATACCATTTTATTCCCTGGTATCTAGGACGTTTCATAGCAAATAAGACTGAAATGCTACGAACTGTTCAGGAGGAATGTGAGGATGAAGCCATGTGATCTTGAAAATAGGTCAAGGTCATTTAGATGAGGAAATAGTATTACACTCTATCCCAGGTATTAACTGCCTAAATATCACAACCTTTTATCTGTTTGAATTTGTTAAATGAGTAGAAGAGGTAGAGACGAAGCTTATGTTGATCTTTGACTCCAACTAGCACTTACATTTGACCTTTAACCTCAACACAATGTATATTAGAAAATATTCGTACTATTAGTCTAAAAAACATATACCCAGGTACCTTTGAGGCGTCGTTTGACTTTTTCATCCCATTTGGCGACACCGCTGATTCGTATCAATTTGAACATCACCTTTTCGGGATGTTTGATTGATTGATTGGTTTGGGGTCATGTCAGGAATATGAAGACGATGCCAACAGATGATGGGGCTACACAGGGAGCACTTAAAGGTGTCAGCTCCATGTCATTCCTTATGATCACCTTACATTGACAACGAGACAACCAGTCCTTACCGACACCAGCTTTTAGACTGTTAAGTATCATTGATTCCCGAATTTGCACGCGCTCTATAACGACGAAAACCAATCTAACGATACGTATATTACTCGCATTTAACACATTTCTTGTATCAGTTCACAAACCATCAGCAGTGAAACTGTGTAGGACGCACCCGACCGTGTCAGTAACTATAGATCTAGGATTTACAGGTACTTGATGGACACGTTTCTGATGATTTTATCACAGCCGTAATCTCCCTCGATAAATCACTACTACATGAACTCGAGAACTCAACCGCATGGTAGTAAAGGGTCATTACCAGGGCTTTCCGGACCGTTGTGGTCAGATCACATTTTGTTTATTCTATACTATTGAAGGTATTGAAGTATTACAGCAGGAAATAGGTCGAGGATATTGTTTGGGTCATCGGTATTGGCTATTTTGTGTCAATCCCTGCCCGGTTATTCCGATCCAATCAACAATTATACCTCGTACCAAACGTACCTTGTGGTTTGTGGATACGTTCCACAGTTGAATGATCAATAACAATAAATCAAAACTTAACAGGATTGGAGATATCTTGTCGTTCGCTATTTATTTGCCCCATATCTCAAATGTGTGTTGCTAAATTCTATATTCCTATTTTATTTGTTCTTTCAACTTCTTTATCAACCATTAATGATGTTATTGTTTAAAGCTAAGTTGAAGGAAGATAACTATTCTCATGATATGCTCACGACACACTACGAGTTCGATAATTGTAAGCGTTATGGCCCTTACCTTCCATTACGTAAACCAGAGAGCCCACCTCGCCCTCGTTGATGATGAGACTGTCCTGAGTGTACTCGACTGGATACATACAGTCCACGATCTCCCGGATTTGACCCATGTCCAGGTTTTTCATGAAGTCGTTGTCAAGGATCGCTTGTCTTATTAGGTCCCTAGTACTGCAATATAAAAACACAGTTCTATTTAGTGCAATTAATGGTTTCTTTAAAATGATATTCCGACACACAGTAAACAGCCCGACACACCGTAACACCGTAAACAGTCCCACCAAACTTCGATTTTTTTAATAATCTCAAAACAAATCATTGCGCTTGTACATGTCATTGTTTCAAAATATCTGTTACAAATTACAAACTCTTCAAATTGTTGCTTATCTTATAATAAGGAGACAAACCATCACCTATAGCAGTTTTGTTTCATAAAATGAATTTGTGTAGCATGTTGAAGTTCGTTAAATCCTTATTCTTAAATATGATTTCGGTTATATCAAAGCAATCTAAATATCCCATCAACATGATATACATGTATACTCGTTCGATAAGCTCGTGACTTATTTCTCAATCAGCTTTTCCCTGAAGTCGCTGACAGCGTACATGAACATACATAAATAAGTATGTTTCAATTCTCGTGTAAATAATTTGTATTTCATTCCACCAAGAACAATGAGTAAAGTTAGTCCATTTCCTCTACGGGATTTTTCTTAATTAGAAGGGAAATGAATATTGCCTATGACTATTAACTCAAGCCCCCTCGTCGACCCTTCTAATCATTTTTTCCCCCTTCCTACGGAAACTCAAATTATCCCCATAGGCCTAACTTATCATATTTAACAGTGTATCTCAACTCTATTCACATGATTCTCCTCATACCCCCCCCCCCCCCCCCCCCNCCCCGAAATGTCATGCAATGATGAAAGTTTAGATCTATTTCCCTTGCGAGCCATTTAATTCTCTCTACAGAACATCAAGTATTCTTGGGGTTGTTATGTCGTAATCATCAAGTTTATAATCGGCCGAACATTATATTACACATCATCATACCTTAATAACACCGGAAGAAATGCTGTTGCCAATAATACTAATGATCACTGTACCCTTGGTTCGGTAAGATGTAATGCACTCAACACTATACAGATCGAATAACGTTATATCAGGTAAGTAATGACACGGCGGTCAGCAATACTAGAGACCACCATATACCTTGGCCAGGTAAGTAATGACACGGCGGTCAGCAACACTAGAGACCACCATACCTTGGCCAGGTAAGTAACGACACGGCGGTCGACAATACTAGAGACCACCATATATTGGCCAGGTAAGTAACGACACGACGGTCAGCAATACTAGAGACCACCAAATACCTTGGCCAGGTAAGTAATGACACGGCGGTCAGCAACACTAGAGACCACCATACCTTGGCGAGGTAAGTAACGACACGGCGGTCAGCAACACTAGAGACCACCATATACCTTGGCCAGGTAAGTAACGACACGACGGTCAGCAACACTAGAGACCACCAAATACCTTAGCGAGGTAAGTAATGACACGACGGTCAGCAACACTAGAGACCACCATACCTTGGCCAGGTAAGTAACGACACGACGGTCAGTAATACTAGAGACCACCAAATACCTTGGCCAGGTAAGTAATGACACGGCGGTCAGCAATACTAGAGCCCACCATATACCTTGGCCAGGTAAGTAATGACACGGCGGTCAGCAATACTAGAGACCACCATATACCTTGGCCAGGTAAGTAATGACACGACGGTCAGCAACACTAGAGACCGCCATACCTTGGCGAGGTAAGTAACGACACGGCGGTCAGCAACACTAGAGACCGCCATACACCACCATATACCTTGGCCAGGTAAGTAATGACACGACGGTCAGAAACACTAGATACCGCCATACCTTGGCGAGGTAAGTAACAACACGGCGGTCAGCAACACTAGAGACCGCCATATACCTTGGCCAGGTAAGTAATGACACGGCAGTCGGCAATACTAGAGACCACCATACCTAGGCCAGGTAAGTAACGACACGGCGGTCGACAATACTAGAGACCACCATATACCTTGGCCAGGTAAGTAATGACACGGCAGTCAGCAATACTAGAGACCACCATACCTAGGCAAGGTAAGTAACGACACGGCGGTCAGCAACACTAGAGACCACCATACCTTGGCCAGGTAAGGAACGACACGGCGGGCAGCAACACTAGAGACCACCATATACCTTGGCCAGGGAAGTAATGACACGGCGGTCAGCAATACTAGAGACCACCATATACCTTGGCCAGGTAAGTAACGACACGGAGGCCAGCAACACTAGAGACCACCATATACCTTGGCCAGGGAAGTAATGACACGGCGGTCAGCAATACTAGAGACCACCATATACCTTGGCCAGGTAAGTAATGACACGGCGGTCAGCAATACTAGAGACCATTACCATTACAATCCATTTATGTAAGATGGCGGAGAACATAGAGTAGGATAAAAGATGACATCATAGCAATGTTGACAACATACAAAAGAAAATATATAATCATTGTCAGTGGCACAAAGCTGGAACATACACGATTGCTCAGATATTAAGTATAGACTTTCTTTTAGAAGTAGCCTGAATTAGATACTTACTAAGGTTTCTCAATTGTTTTACATTTTATTTTTACATTTTTTCAAGTAACGACACAGCGGTCAGCAACACTAGAGACCACCATATACCTTGGCCAGGTAAGTAACGACACGGCGGTCAGAAATACTAGAGACCACCATACCTTGACCAGGTAAGTAACGACACGGCGGTCAGCAATACTAGAGACCACCAGACCTGGGCCAGGTAAGTACCGACACGGCGGTCAGCAACACTAGAGACCACCATATACCTTGGCCAGGTAAGTACGACACGACGGTCAGCAACACTAGAGACCACTATACCTTGGCCAGGTAAGTAACGACACGACGGTCAGCAACACTAGAGACCACCAAATACCTTGGCCAGGTAAGTAACGACACGACGGTCAGCAATACTAGAGACCACCATATACCTTGGCCAGGGAAGTAACGACACGACGGTCAGCAACACTAGAGACCACCAAATACCTTGGCCAGGTAAGTAACGACACGACGGTCAGCAATACTAGAGACCACCATACCTAGGCAAGGTAAGTAACGACACGGCGGTCAGCAATACTAGAGACCACCATACCTAGGCCAGGTAAGTAACGACACGGCGGTCAGCAATACTAGAGACCACCATACCTTGGCAAGGTAAGTAACGAAACGGCGGTCAGCAAATTAAGACCACCATACCTTGGTCAGGTAAGTAGTGACACGGTGGTCAGCAATACTAGGGACCACAATACCTTGGCCAGGTAAGTAATGACACGGTGGTCAACAATACAACAGACCACCAAACCTAAATCAGATCAGCAATACTAAAAACCACTATACTACAGGTAGGTAAGGGGGTGACGCGGTGCTCAGCAGTTCAAGACGCCGATATATTCAGTGAAAGAAACCTCTATACCAGGACCATTCAGTGATTGAAAAGGCGTAATACGGTCAAAACAGAGACATAATTTCACGTATATCATTCATTGTTCTTAATTGTAACGAAATTTTAACAGCGAGAGGTTCTTGTATGTACATACATCTTATGTGTACAGTTTGGCTTCCGGTTGAGCAACAAAAGTTTCCAAACTGTTAAACTTGGTGAGACATGTGCACGTGTCCAGCGAGTTATCAAAAGAGCCTGTTTTATATCAGGACGGAAGGCACAACGACAAAACAGATATAAAACGTCTGCTTTCTAAATTCACTCGCTATAAAAGATAACCAATTGCTGATTAAATCCGGAGGTATTTAGGCGGTTTTATATCCAACATATTTAACGGAATATGTACAGTTATTTAAACAGTAAAATAGTCGGGAATAATGGCGAGGAATTGTTCAATTTTTCTACAGAGCGTGCCACGACTGTAATTGTACCAATACGTTGGTTATCATTGGTCTAGGAGTTCTTATGTCAGAGGCTCATCAGCTCCACAAATCGCTGTGTTTACAAGGCAACCAGGCAGGTGGCTTAACATAATAGATATACTCTAAGATTTACGCTCTGATATCTACGATAAATCACCCAATGGTAAGCTTCATCAGATTGATATGGAAGCTCGCGCGCCAGTAACCGACCGGAAACTCGGATCAATTCAATTATTTACAGGATTGAAAATAAAGCACGTACACATTCCAACCGCTACACTGTGTGGACACACGTGCACCCTGGCTGTCGATACTGTAACATACATCTGACGGATTCGTTCGTGGTAAATCATTGTAACATGGCGGTGTACCTGTTGTTCGTGAAACCTTTATAACAAGTCGTAATCAGCGGCACACGCGACTCGTGACTACATAAAACATCATAACAAGTAATGATCGATGTTATTGGGATTCTTCTGTTTCTTTGAAAATTAAAATCGACTTGTAAACTGAATAAATATACGAGGTGCCCACACAAAATTCAGCACGTCTAAGATTTTAATATTCATAGCCAGATAACGACAAAAATGGCGTCAATATATGATTGATTTTATAGCATATCACGACTAAAACATTAAAAACACATGCTGTTATATATCTTCTTCGTGTTTCGTGCGGGTGGTATGATTATACCGTGTCCATAACTTCCTACTTGTTTTCGTTCATACCCATATGAAATTGAACTGGTAAGAAACGTAACAATAAACTTAGTAGTTGATGACGAACTCGAGCAAACAGTGGACATCACGTACCGAGTGTCCATGTATTTAGTGATGAAATCGTTGGTAGGTAGTGCTTAGTTCGATACTGTACCGGAACTATATACCGCACGATAACACAGTTTACAAGTAAAATACTACCGACCTATTACATTATGTACGTACCATATTAACGATTCGTCTGACTAATTAAAGTTCATGCTATAATGAACACCGCTAATATCTGACGTCATTATCATATCTCCAGGCACAGACTCTTTAATGAAACAATATATAGCTGTATTCACCACGAATCGAAGATAAAAATGTCTTGATATCTTTGATTTAGTTGATCTAAAGTAAACAGCACATCTCTACAGTTTTAAGATGTGGGTCGGGGTCGGAGATCCAAAGAATGCTATGTATCTGCTTTGCGTTACTGCGGAGCATTACATAATCACGGAAAAGGAGTTTACAAAACGTCATTCATTTGATTCATTGACTATTATAGTTACATATACTGTACCACAAAACAAGGGCATTACAACACGTGTACTCTAGATAGCGGACATGGATCTGTAAGACAATTTGTTAATGATAAAAGAAACGGAGAATCATGCTCCGTAGCCCGTGTGAACGATGCTAACGAGATAACGGACATGCTTGCAGTACTGTGGACCGCACGTGTTGGTGAGTGCATGTTGCCACTGTCCGACATGCATCCCGTCCTACAGTCATACTCGCCGCTAGAAGGGATAACTGTAACCCGAGCGATACGAATGATGAGCAGCTCAATCCCGGCCTGTGTCAGTAAATCGCTCTTTAAAACATATCGCAGGTTTTGTAGGAAAGCGTTTGATGTAAGAAGCATGTTTGTGAAGCGTTATCAGACGGATGGCAGTTTATTGAAACGGAATGTTCCCCTGTATCTACAGCTTATCACGATAACTGATTTACAATAAGTAAATCTAAAAATAAACTTGGAAGTGAAATGTTCGCTTATCTTATCGCCAAATCCACAAACATTTCTCAACCGGATCACATTTAGATTTATAAAAAACAACATTTCGGGACATCTTTATTCGTCTGTTTGTTTCTAAAGCGTTGTTCATGTCTCATGTGCACGCGCATAATTAACGTTACATGATGTGGGGTATATGCACGTGTAATTGGTGTATGATCTGGGGTACATAAACGGGTCGCAATGGCGGTAGAGATAACCTAACATCAAACCTGTATCTACAGAATCGACTGGGCTAATTGGCGGAGAACATGGAGGTAGATACTGCGCTATCGACAGCTTCCTGGCTCCATGTCCAAGATCTTATCTCTGGACAAGGCGCGTGCGGCATAGTCGGGGTTTTGCACGTGTAGTTGTGGACACATGTGCTATCTATATTTTGATTTTGTTGAACTGTTTCTCTCGCTAACCTACATCCCATACTAAGAAGTACGTACAGAGTAACGTTTACACGTTACGACGGTGAAATTGTTATAACACGTTACGGTGGTGGAGTGAACTATCATAGTTATATAGACCTTTGTTTCATCATATCTAACTCGAGCAAGTAAATTTCATAATTTTGAAAATAAGGTAGAGTTAGAAAAATATAATAACAATGGATGGATACTAGTTTAGGACCTTCTTTCTACCATAATTACATTGTATTGTCATTATACTGTAATTATATTAATGTCGAGTGACCGTTGTTGTCATTATCAAAAGAGTCAAGCCGTGTAGTTTTACTGTTTTACACCGCGGATGTACTAGTATGTCCGTAATAGTGGAGCACGAATTAAAGGCGCCAATCATCAATCTACCATGTTCCATATTTCAGTATGTTAACCAATCAAAATAACGGAGGTGCTATTCACCCTCTTAATTAACACGCATGTTTAACCAGGAGAAATGTCGGTTAACGGACGGCTTGGGAGTTAATATACACTGGCAATTGATGAAGAAATGCACACTTGCGCAGCCTCTTTTGAAGTTGCTGTATCTTAATGAACACAAGTTTCACACCTAGATAAACATGTATCTAACCTAAAAAAAACTGCACTTCCGGTTCGGTTGCCAACAAGTGGCACGATGTTGTTCAGTGTTGCGCGTGCCACCGAATCGAACAGCATGCAATACAACAGGAACTCTTGAATAATACGGGTACTTACGGTGGTGACTTAGGAATTCGTTTAGCCTTATATAAACTCAACACAGAATGACATGCAGGTTCGGCAGATATGGCTGTCCTTTTGATACGCTCCCTCGTCATGGCCATCCGTTTTTTCACAGGTGGTGTTGCAGGCTTCAAGATGGACCGGTACTTGTCCAACTCGTTCTGCAGTTTCTTAATGAGGACATCCTTCTCGTCCAACTCCGACTCTAACTCGTCAATGAGTTCGTCCCGTTGACGTAATTCCTCTATCTTTTCATTCAGTGACATCTGTAAGTCTCGGAGTGTCCCCATGGTATCACAACAGAACCTACACACACAGGGAGTACACTTTACTTACAGAGTCACAACGTCCTCGTCTGTCTCTATATCCTTTCCATTGTTATCCATAGGCAATTGTCATCAGACAGGAGTAATGAAGCATAATACTTCAGAAACAGAAGGAGGCTATGTAATACCGGCTGTCAACTGTAACAAGGGCCAGACTTACAGACACAGACCAATTAAAGCCAGGAAGTATCGTATATGTATATCACTGGTGGATTACACACTTCTGTAAAACGTATAATTACTGTGGTCATGTAGATCCTTTGTCCAGTCAGCCGTTTTGCCTTACCGTTGACGTTCAGTTTGCATTAATCAGTAATAACTTTTTTTCACATTGTGAACAAATAATCCATGACTTTGGGGAACAGTGTATGTACTTACATAGTGCACCGGAGTCATTTCGTATCACCATAGCAACTTAGGGAGTGCACTGAAGTCACCCTTATCACCAATTCCTGATCACGTACCCCCATCCCATGAAACTACACGCGGTGACGTAACTCCTATGAGGTACTAGTGGCTCGTGCCGTGGGCTTCACAGCACGCGATACAAGTTTTTGCTGCTCCAATACGCCCTTATTCCCGACACAAATGTTTGGAAATTTGTCGTGGAACTTGACTCCCCCGCGCGGAAATGAATGACCCAGCTGTTAGTGCACGTGAAACGTTGGCATACCCTCACGTGTAATTAGAAATGTAAGTATTTCAATTAGAGAGTGGGAACCTCTCTTCGCGGACACGTGGTGGTAACACGTTTACAGTAATTTTAAACATGAGTAGAATCCTCCAGCTAGCCTTAGTGTGTGGGTTATGTTACACTAACTCGGCTGTCACGAGACTATTTTCACTCCATTTACAAACAAGTTTGGTTTACTTTAATATTTGATACTTGTGTGTGAATAAGCCTGCCACTTGTAAGGCCTATGTGTGACACGGGTCAACGACTGCGTAGCTGAAGATGGCGACATCTAGCGACTGCTCCTCGTTATAAGAGGAAAGCATTAACTTTTCCGGTTCTCTCTATTATTTCAGCCAGGCACTTTATATATTATGCATAGAACCTATACAATCACCAATGATTAAAATCTGAATGAAGCCGACAATTTCACGGCATGCACACCTTTCAACCAAGAATCAATTCGTCATTACTGGTCCTGTTCGGGCCTACTAATGTCCACTGACTTGGAAAAAAGTTTTCCTTTGGTATTAACACATTGGCAACAATGATACACTTGGAATTATTGAACCAACATTCCACGGGAACACCTTATCTACGGACACCCCGAGAGATCCGAGTATGCTTGGAGCTTATATCTCCCACCAACAGGCGTCCGGAATGCGCCAAAGCCAACCTTACGGAGATGTTATTTAGGCCTATCGCGGAACCTTTCAAACGTTTTGTAAATGCCGTAGTGTCTTTACTGGGCGACCGGTAAGGTATTTGTGGAGGGTATATACAAAACCTCGACAGTAGGAGAGCCTCACAGCCCACTCATATCAAGCCGTAAAACTATAGTTTACATTTTGTTTCTTTAATGCCTAGAGATTCTCAAATCGTTCGCAACTTACAGTAAAGGTAAGAAGATCTAGAAATAACTTGCACGCGAACTAATGGTAAACAAATCACCAGCTGAAATGCCTTTTCCCCGTCCAGAGACAGGAGTGTATATAGGGGCTGCTGTGTCTGGCCGGTGGCCCCTGGCATTGCCCAGGTTCAGCTGGAGGATGCAATAGACACGCCCACGGCTCTTGACCATTAAAATCACCACAGAATGTACTAAATCGGATGAAACAAAAAAACAGCAATAAGTATCAAGGAAAGGGGCTAAGATTTCAACATTAACCCTCCCTATATATCATTCTTGGCTTGACAGAGAAAGAGGTCGACAATAAGCTTAGCTTCGACTTGCACTGCTCGCATTGGCACATTTCCTATAACGGCATCAATATTAGCTAATCGATTCAATCGAATATGTTTGTGCCACTAACACTGACAATGCACTGCTAAGATGACACAAATGAACGGTAACGCTAAAATTGACATTTATATGAGCAGTGTATGTACCCGAAACGAACGGAGCCTCGGGTTTGACAACCAAAACCTCACCTCTCGGGTTGGATATTTCTCTGTCTCATCCCCCAGGTAGGGGACGATTCTATTATTAGAATGTACCTGGAACATTTATAAACATTGACAAAAACTACGTACTACTGCGGATACAATTCCAAAATATTTTTAGTCATATGTCTCGACTGTATAGTTTAAAAAAGAAACATCATGAACTGGCTGTATCATTGATAGGCGTCGTAGACCATTGTCCTACGTCACAGATCATCTTTTGTCAAGAGTGTCTATACAGCCGCAAATACGGTGAGACAATTATGTGCTAAATACGTTTTCAGAGACCACTCCGCGCACCTGCCGGCTGTCGTACTGAGCTATTGCAGGTGTGTAAAGAACAGTACGGGCCGTAAAGTCGTACACGTGGGCTAATATCAGTGCATGTATAAATTTTATTATTTCGAATACGATTGTCATGTATGAGCTTTAAAGAGAGCCTGTACTAGTTGATCGATACCTTACAAAGACGTGCCGGATCCGTCGGCCACACAGGAATGGTAATCACGCCTATCTACCGCTAATTATATAACCATATGATTGCAACTTTGTCCAATTAAATGAATCACTGCTCGGAGTGAAGGCAGGTGCGACATCCGACATTGATGGCAATTCGCCTCAGTCATTCCTCCTCCTTCCCGTCACACCTCGTGTCCAGGAGTAAGCACGGCTAGCTAATTACAACATGCCAGTACAGGGATTTGCGTATGAGGAACGTCCATAGAGGACACATTCAAGTGTAAGACGTTACTGAGAAGTGCCAGACGTCACATCGGATATTCCAGAGAGCCTAAACTGCTTACGGAAAATTACAAATATCGCATATCGTTCACTCCTTCGTCCGCTTGGAAATTGTAGAAGACATCACAACAGAAGCCTCATTACTGGTTCATATGTACCATACAAACAAAATAAGCGTATGAATGACTCCGATTGATATTATAGACAAACTAAGCTTATGACTAAACCCGATTGTCCTCACATAAGAATAACAATTTGATCGACCTCATAAGCTCGCAAGAGACTGATTGATCCCGTCATTGAATCCTTATGTTAATCACTCGAGTTTGATTAATTAAATTGCAATTGCTCTTGATATTATACGCAATTAAAATGTTCCATGTTTATACCATCTTAATGAAAATCGTATAATCGATATCTTTGTGAAGTATTTTTGTCCTTACGAAAAAGATGCCCCCGTAATAAATGAAAGGCATGATATAAATGTCTGAGATGCGATTTTCGTTACCGCCTGCGTAGTAATCGGTACGCTTGACCAGAAATAGCCAGTTTCAATTTGGACTAAAACGGCTTAAAAAATCTTGAGGAAGGCCGAGGACAGCCATTTGAGTCGAGACACGGAGAAGTGGCAGAGGAAGCAATGTGAACATTTTCTGGCGAGCCACGTGGTAGTGGTGATATTCTTTCTAGAATTTTGGGTTAGGTCACCGTAGGAGTACAAGTAACTTGTCGTACTACACATATAGGTAAGCTCCAAACTCGTCACTTTCGCTATGTAATGCAATTTGATGTTCTTGTCGATTATTATTTGAGTAATCTTTTACGGCACACACCTGACAAAAGGTAAGAATCCTATTAGCACAGAACATAACAAATATTTAAACTTTAAACTATTCAAATATGCGGAACACAGGTGTCTTGTACTGAATTAAAATAAAGTTAATAATTTTATTGTTGTTTTCTATTCTGGGATTTAAGAAGTAAAAAACTAAGCACAAAGATACCAATAATTCACAAAATATTACAAACTATCAAAATGTACTAGCTACTTTCTTACCAGAACGGCTCATCTTGTGAGAAGGGTACATCTGTTCGAGTACTCTAAGCACTGTTTGTCCTATTTGTATCGAGACGTTCCTAAATTCATCGCTCCAATCCACCTTCTCTAAATTGCAAATAAAGTTTTAGAATAAATCCTTCAATTGTATAACCATATAGCTCATCTCTTTAGGACCATGTCCCTATGGTCCACGCATGCGCCAATCTAGTCAGGTCACAAAAGTAGACCTTTGAATTAGGCAACACACTTTAAGTGCAAAAAAAACTCTTTCTAAATAGATTAATACTTGACAAGGAATCTTCATGTAATTTGGTTTACTAGAATAGGGTATGCCCCTTTTATGAAACACCAAAAGGAACGTAGAGAATATACCCCCCTCTGGATTCACATGTACGCTGGGTCTTGCTTGAGTTAATTAGTGAATGACATTCCTGCCAGTTTCCAAGATGGATGACCGTGGGTGTACGTCTCAATATGTACTGTTAAGTATTACGGATGGGGAAGTAATTAACTAAATAGGGCACCTGCCATCCTGTAATAGGCCCTCAGTAGGGCGGCACCAGTCTCGAGTACCTTAACACATCATCACGGCTAGCCCCGGGACTCCCGTCATGTCCAATACTACAATGTAATGCCCACTACTAAGCCGTTAATAGCCCGTCAGAACCGAGAAACAAGTGGGTGATGGCGTCATACAGTATACAACGTAGCATCAAGTTCCCCATTCTATTTAGGTACTGCAACAAGCTAGCACAGTTTTGACTACTCAGTAAGTACTACACTTTTTGTAACGGTAACTCTATCGTCATGGTGATAGCTTGTGGGGATGGGACACAATGGGCATGCAGTTTTCGATTTGTATCTACAATTTTTGTATCTACTGTTAAGCTGCTTATCTGGAAGCTCAATAGACATTTTTAATAAAGGTCCGCAGAAATCTGGTTCGTAATGCACTATCACAGAACAGACAAATTTGAAATGCTGAACATTTGGTTTCTTTGGAAGGGTTTAATAAACAAAATATAGTATATACACATACTTCAACAGCTAGCCTGTACTACTGTGGTTTGATGATCAATTTGACAGCCCCCGGTCCTCTCCCACAAAGTATTCAATATGTCTTTTAATATTATAGTATTCAAAATTTGAAAATAATTAAACTATCTAAAATATAATACAATTGTATTTGCCTCTGTTGCGGTAGCGCATGCCGACCCAGGCGCCTGTGGAATTTTCATGGTTATTGCAAACTCAACCCCTTCGACATCAATGAGTAACGATGCCAACATGAAGGGACAGGACAGACACTGTAAGGGAATTGTATGGCTTTTCATTGGCTAGTGCCGATACGGCGTACAACATGTGATCAACAAAAACAACAGCGTGGGTGGTCCAAACGCAAGAGTGCCCTCGCGAGTTGTTCCCGAACACGATTCGAGCTCGTTACCATACAGCTTCAGGAATAAGAGCACTCTTATCGTCAAAGAAATAACTTAGCAAGCTGTACAACAAATCTGCACACACCATCCAGGGGTCGACACTAACGGTAGACCGGAGGACCGGGTCCACCAAAATCTTGGACGGTCCACTTAATCTCCAAAGCTGGTAGACCGCCAGTCCACCACANATCGTATTAATAAGCGATCTGTTGGTGCCCCGTATGTGGAGGTCTGATAAGGATGTCGATAACAGACCAGAAATATCACAGATCTGTATGACAGTTGGACCGGTGCAGGTGAAACGAGCCACATGGCACTTCTCTCACCTCCTACCCTAGACTGATCGCTGTTCCAGACATTTCCC